AATGTTTTCGCCATGACGGCAGAGAGAAAATATTAAAAGTCATGAAAGCACAGGAAAATCGGATCATTTGTTCAGGAATGACGGATAAATATTTATAGGGGTGCGCTCATTGTGCGCACCCCCGGTACAAATAGGGTTAAGCAAAAATTTTGCTTAAACTTGGGAATACGTGGTACCTACTCCAGTCACAGTTTCAGGATTGGAGCGGCGACCACAGCAGCGTCTGCGTGCATCCCGGATTACTTAATTAAGACATTGGGTCGTTGGTCGAGCAACGCGTAACTTCTGTACATTCGGACTCCATCGCCCGTGCTAACATCAAAAGATGCCGTGCTGGCATAATTCGAACCGTTTTGGAGGAGGGTCCGAGAGTTGTGGTCAGTTTAAACCGTTATAACATGCAAAATCCTCTGCAAGAGCTCTACAGGAGGAAATTTGTGAAAAGGAAGAGAAGAGCCTGGGAACTAATATGCTGCCATAACAACCACATGACCTCCCAAACATGTTCATATGGGTGCACCCAGTAAGTGTACCAAGTTTCATTGAATTTTATTAAATACACACCAAGATATCAGACTTTCTTTTTATTGCCAGTATCTCAAGTCATAGTTGTGACGTCACAACTCAAGAAATAGAAAGTGCGATAACTTGAGAATAAGATGAAACACGAAAAAACTGTAAACGTCATTCTTCACCATTCCAGCAGCATATTTTAGAAAAACAATAAAAACTGAGGTAAAAATTTCGTTTCTTAAGCACTTTAAGATTTTAGAGTAAATTACTAGGTAATAAGTCTCTCAATTCAGTGTCTACTGCCATGTGATCTTAATTTAACAAGCCTCAATCAATCAATCAAAGTAGTCTTGACTTGCCATATTGGGCTCAGATAAATCCAACAAGATATATAATTTGTTCGTAGAAATTTGTGCAAATGGGCTTTCCAACATACTTCGCGACATGTTGTAAGCAACTGAATTCCGCGAGGAAAGTTTTCCCGCGCTTTTCCCAGAAGACACGTATGCGGGCATAAATACTTCATACAATCAACGGTATGCGGGCATAAATAATTTGCTATATTGGGTTCATAACTATCCGTATGCGCTTAGTTTGCTCTAATTTTTCTGTAATGCCGTTTGCCTGAGGACAATTAGTCCACCGTTATATAATCACGTAGAAGGAAATCTCTTTGATTTAAATTCTTCATTATTTACTAACGCGGTATTAAACTAGGATCATTCCTAAATATCATTCCCAACTATTGTGGGAAATTCACTTGAATCACGTGGCGCAACGAGGAATACGTTCGCCAAGAATCGTAGGGGACTGTTTCCCAGACATGTTTGCAAAATGGCGAAAGGGACGGTAAATATTAAAACTATGAATTATCAAAATAATACATGTAGGAGGAAAACAGAGACGCAAAGTATTCCCGATTAATATGTAATTAAAAGACTCTGCACGCGTAAGTAATTCATTGAGTTCCCCTCGTTTCGGGTATTTAAATATAAATTAAATAATTGTCTTGCAAAACATATATTACCGCATCAACGGCGTGACTCCCTCTTCATCTTTCAAACCTCCGATTGGCAAATCCTTGTCCAATTCCAGCATGACTTTCAAGAGTATCTCACTTCCTGATAGACAGGAGCCCAGAATAAACTTTTCAGATTCTGAATGTTGTAATTCTCTTTGCACCAATAAACGTGCTATTTCTTCTTCCATCAGAAAATTAAGAATAGCGGGTTTCCTACTTTGAGACGCTGGATAAAATATTGAATGTCCTTTGCCATACAGAGTTTCATTGGTAAGTAGACTTTCTCGGCGATCATGTGAACATGAATCTAAACGAAAAGTTGCAAGATCGGTCAGCAATTTAAGATATCGTAAATTAGTGGGAAATTTTCCATTATGGAGAAGTTTATTGTCTTGTCGTATTGTGTCATGTCGTGTCGGACTGTGCCGCGCCGTGCATTGAAATGCTTTGTCTTGTCTTGTCTTGTCTTGTCTTGTCTTGTCTTGTCTTGTCTTGTCTTGTCTTGCATTGTATTGTATTGTATTGTATTGTATTGTATTGTATTGTATTGTATTGTATTGTATTGTATTCTATTGTATTGTATTGTATTGTATTGTATTGTATTGTATTGTATTGTATTGTATTGTATTGTATTGTATTGTATTGTATTGTATTGTATTGTATTGTATTGTATTGTATTGTATTGTATTGTATTGTATTGTATTGGAACTTTATTCAAACACGGTAGAATCATCAGTACAAATTTAAATTATATAAAAACTGATAAAACTATATTCAAAAGGACAAGAAAAACTGATTTACACGTTTGCCGCGTGGGAGTCCACTGTATAGTTAACAATTTTCTAAAACTCCAAAAATAATATTTTCTAAATAGATGCTGTAGGTGCCGAGGTACGTTTTTATTTAAAATCTTGTATATATAAGGATTGTCTTGTGCTTTTTACGACTAGCAGATCATTGGTGCCAATTATATTTAACTCTTCCATAATAAACTTTTTTATGAAGACAAATGCATGGAATCATTATCAATTACGTAACTTCTCATTCTAAAGCTGAGATCCAAATATATCTCTTTTAAGGTGGCTCCCTACAGTTATTCTTGTTTACGCAATAATTCCGTAAAACAGGTTTATTCGTGCCGAACGCGAATTCTTTTCGACTTGGTGGCAATATTAGTCACCTAAGGAATATTTCGAACTAGATTTCGACAACGTCGGTGTTCCCATGGCAACACGACGACAGCATAAAGCCTTCCAATTTAACCCATAAATATGCCGCTATCTCAAAAATGATCTCGGTGACCTACCTTTTTTATTTCATATATAAACAGAGAATGATGTCGTGCATGCAACTGTGGTGAAGGTTTAAACAAATTCTGTAGTGCGTGATATTTTTAAAAGCTAAAATTTATTGCGAAATTGCCACACTATAGATTTTTTTAAAAATTGAAATTTATAAAATTTCCCGCAAAATAAATTCGTGTTCAAAATTTGAGCATAGGTCACCGATGAATCTAGTGAGCAAAATGCAAATTAAGTTAGAAAATAGCTTGGTGTAACTCGAGAAATTCCCCTTATTGAAAAGCGTCGCTGACTAGTAAGAGATTGTACACGGGCGCAGGACGAGCTTTCATTCAGCAAAATCGAGCGGCAATGTTGTTTCTACTGTTTAGTTTTTGTCAACTTTTCGATTTATTTGAGTGCCATGGACAGCCAAGGATTATTGTGAAGGATCAAATCGATGAAACAACAAAATCTGTTTAAGGTTGAAGCTAATTGAACCCTGCCGTTCACTCAATCTATGAGCTGTAACAGCCTTTTAACAGGTGGACGTGTTTTTTTGTTTCATGTTTGGTTTTGTACATTTTGCTAAAAATGAACAATTAGGCTATGAATCTGAAATATTTTTCTGTTTGCATATAATCACTTTAATCTTGTAGAAACACGACTAAAAACGTGAACGTTTGCTTGGGAAGTGAACAACTTTTTACACGTTTGTATGCA